GGAGGGAGAGTGGAGAATGGAGCAGGGACCTTGCTGAGGCTGAGCCGGGCGACTAATGTGTATGCATCTGGTTCTGTTGAACTGTGGCTCGTGTTGTGTATTGAGGCCAGAGCTATTTTTATCCTGACATGTGAGGTTCCTTCACGTCATAGCCACAAAACTCAATCCAAAACATCCCAGGGAAGGTTGTTTGTGAGACGTTCTGCAGATTCTCATGTCGCCACATCAGGTTTCACTTAGCAGCATCTGCAGGGCTGACTCCCCAGCCACCACCCCACCAGCCTGGTTGTGTATACTGAGGGCTCCCAACAGCATCTGTGTGCCCCTGGGCAGCCAGCCGGTCACGTGAACTTCCTGCCAGAGCCCAGCAGGCTCCTTGCTTGCCCACACCAGAAATTGAAGGCAGATCTGTTCAGCTGAGGGGCTGTGCACTTCTTCACAACCCCATCCTCCACAGGATCAGGGAATGGAAACCCCACTCTCCTTCTCTGCCTGCTGGTCCCACCAGGGCAACTCACTCACTCTCCCATGTGCCTACAAGACTGTGCTGTCACTTATGCCACCTAAGCACAGCCTCTTAGATTCTTGGACTCGGCAATCAAAGGCACGCTCTGAATTGGGAACCTGAGCCGCTGTCCCTGATCCTGAGCTCTCCCTTTCCTCAAGCACGTGCAGCACCTAGCCCCGAAGGAGCACTGTGAGCCATGTGTCTGGATGAGCAAGAGCCAGAGGTGGGCGGGAGGGGCCGGTAAAGGCGCTTGAGCTCCCCCAGGAGGAGCAGGCTGCAGTGAGGCGGAAATCAGCATAGTCGAGAGGCCTAGCGTTCCTGGAATAACAGTCCTGGATGAGTTCGAGCTCTCTCCACCTCAGCCCCTCCTCCCCAGCTTGCAGCCCTGGCTGAGAAACTCTTTCTCAGGTTCCATCTAAAGTCAGCCAGGCCTGAAGGACCACTGAGGCCAGAGGAACGGCTGGGCAAAGGGGAACTGGGGCTGGGAGCAATCTCCCAGCCCCTCACCCTGACCCTGATGGGCACTGAAATCACTTCCCTCCTTGTCCAGCCATACAGACCCCACCTCTTCCCACGGCAGAAGGACCCCCAGCCTTGTCTTGGGCCACTCCTTCTCTCCAGGCAGTGGTCTTTCCAGCAGGTGGAATCCTAGATTGCAAAAGGCCATGCAGACTACGCCCTGGGCATCACCCCTACAGCTCCCACCACACCCTGGCCTGTCAGCTGAGGCTCACTCATGGCCCTGGTCAGGGTGCACTCAGCTGCTTGCTATTCTTAGTCTTGACAGTGGGAGCACCACAAGGGCTGAGTCTCACATGCTTCCCCAGTGGCCTCTGCTCTGGGAAAACATGAAGGCTTGGGGGGCCTTCCTCCATGTGGCTGCACTGCTCCTCCTCCAGCTAAGGGCCACCGTGAGTCTAGATATTGAAAGTACATTTTGGGCCCAGAGTGGGAGCTGTGGTAAGGAGAGCAAAGATGTGTCCACAGCAGCCCAGGCCTTCTTTCCTGGCAACTGTAGCCAATCTGTCAGCGGTGGGTAGAGGGGTTTACTGATCTCCTTCCCTGGGTGTAGAGTTGGGAGGTCACAGGTGACTCCTGTCTTACTCCTTGCAACATCACAACAGAGCACCATGAATTTGTCCCAGATCTGAAGTTTCCCCACTCAGACATTTCCAGACTATCCCCCCCACCTCCAGTCCTCCATGGTGAGGATCAGGGAATGAAAGCAGTCTGCCCCGTGGAGTACTCTAAGAGAGGAGATATTTGCTAATAAAAGCAACTACCATTTATTTGGAAGGCCCCAGGCCCAGTGCATTGCATGTTTTGTCTCATTGAATAGGGGCTCTTAATTGCCAGCACTTATAAATAAGGAGACCAGGGTCATTCCTGATTCTTCCTGCTGCCCCTGTGAGGCTGCAACAGGCGGGCACCTCTCCCTAGGGCCTGCCCTGGGCACCCAGCTCCTTAGGAATAGAGATTCTGGCCCCAGGTGCCCCCATCCGGGAGTTCTTTCTTTACTCCCTACATTGGTCCCTTTGTCCTTTAAAATTCTTGGGAGCCTTAAGTGGCCATAGAAATGGGATGGGCCAGGGGGTGCACATAGAAAACCAGGAAGGGGACAGGGACAAGAGGCGTTCACAGGTGTTCACCTGAGTGAAGCCTGCTATTACTTGGGTTTCAGTCCACAGGTACCTGCTGCAACACATGGGGCATACAGCGTGCTCTCCAGCAGCCATCATGGTTCTTCAAATTCATCTCCTGTGCAGAGAATGGTGTGGGGCTGCCTCAACAGCTGGGCCCACAACCACCTCTTCAGGGATCAGCCCCAGCTGGGCCTAGGGTAACTCGATCTATAAGAATGTGACACATGATTCTGCCAACAGCCCCTCTGGGCCAGGGAGCAGAGACTGTTTGCCATTCCAGAATCACTCAGGACCTTCCCAGCCAGGCTGCCCCAAGCAGGGACCCAGAACAAAGCAGTCCAAACAGCAGGAAGTTACACAAAACCTGCCCTTGAGCTGGGCTCCCCACTCAGGGCGGGTCTGTGACACAGCTCAGGGGATTGTCTGGGAGGGGCGGTCAGATTTGGAGGTGTGGCCCCTCGTGAGAAATCCTCATAGAGTAATCCACAGCTGGGAAACACTGAACAGAAAAAGGTCTTTTCTAGTTCCCAGCTGCTTCCCTGTAAGGCAAGTGTGAGCTCAACAGCAAGACACAACTCCTAGGAGGAGTGTTTTTACTGCCACTCTCTGGCCACTGTACCTAACAGTCAGCCATAGAGAGAGGCACCTCTGTGTGACTCACCTGTAATGCTCTGGATGGTTCTGCACCTGGCTGTATTGTATCTTGGGTCAGTGCTTCTGGGAGCTGTTCCACAGAGACCCCACATCTGACAACATGGTCACCCCTTCCCTGGTGCAGGGAGAGCCTTGTGATTCCCACAGGGCTCCTGGACCAGGGAGGCCACCTGAGAGAGCGATGACATGCTTTGGGCAACAAAGCATGAGCAACCAAAGAAAAAAAGACACACTGGGGGCCTGGGGTGGTGGCTCAGTGGTAGAGCACTTGCCTAGCATGTGTGAGGCACTGGGTGATTCTCAGCACCACATATAAATACATAAAATAAAGGTCCACTGACAACTAAAAAATATATTTTAAAAAAATACACTGGACTTAACCAAAATTTAAAATTTTGTGGGAATGTGGTTCAGTAGTAGAGCACTTGCCTAATATACACAAGGCCTTGGGTTCAGTTCCTAGTGCCACCAAAAAAAAAAAATTGTTTTTAATTTCATGTACTTCCAAAGGACACTATCAAGAAAATTAAAAGACAGTCCCCAAAATAGGAGAAAATGTTTATAAATCATAATTGATAAATGACTCAACTTGTATCCAGTGCATGAAGAACTCTTGAAACTCAACAATAAAAAAACAAATAGCCCAACTTAAAAATGAGCAAAGGAATTGAGTAGACATTTCTCCAGACAAGATAGTCACATGGACAATAAACACACAAACATTATTAGTTATTAGACAAATGCAAATCAAAACCACAATGAGATCCCACTTCCCAACACCAAGATGGCTGTTGGTAAGGAGAAACGACACACCTCCTGCATGGCTGGTGGGGGTATAAAATAGGACAGCCCTCAGGAAGTTAAACAGAGTGACTGTGTGACCTAGCAGTTCCATTGCTAGATATATACCCAAGAAATTAAAATATGCTCAAGCAAAAGCTTGAAAATGAATGTTCATAGCAGCATCATAAGAGCCAAAAAGTAGAAAGAATCCAACGTCCACCAACTTATGAGTGGGCCAACAATATGGTGTGTCCATACAATGGACTATCATTTGGCCATAAAAATGGATGAAGAACATGCTACAGTAAAGGTGAACCTTGAAAATATGCTGCATGAAAGAAGCCACATACTGTAGGGTTCCATTTAAATGGGCAAAATCCAGAAGAGGCAAGTTTATAGAGAGAGAAAGTAGTGCTTTCCAGGACCTGGAGGAGGAGAAACGGGAAACTGCTACTGGGTACAAGGTTTCTTTGGGGAGTGATTAAAAATGTCCTGGAATTATTAGGGCAGATTAAAATACTTTGCACTGTTGGCTGTCTTTAATCTCCTGGCATGTACACCACTTATTTTTTCTCAAGTATCACTGGGAAGGGAGTTTGGGTTTTGCCTCTTTGTTTTTATTTTAATTAGGATATATGACAGCAGGATGCATTTGATTCCTTATACACAGTTGCAGCACAACTTTTCATTTCTCTGTACACGATGTATGTAGCCTCGCACCGTATGTGCAGTCATACATGTACCTAGGGTAATAATGTCCATCACATTCCACCATCTTTCCTGCCCCCATACCCCCTGCCTCTTAGTTTTGCTAGGTTTGTTGACCACTAAGATTATGTACCTGCCTTACTCCTCCATTCTCTTGTCATTGTCCTTGACTGAGCATAGTAAACCCTAAGTGTATCTAACTTATTAGGATGATGAGTAGATATTTGCTTTTTAAAAAGTCATAGTACCTGGTAGGGCCTTACACATTAGGAAGTTGACTACAGGGCCTGGGGTTGTAGCTCAGCAGTACAGCGCTTGCCTAGCAGGTGTGAGGTACTGGGTTCCATTCTCAGCACCACATAAAAATAAATAAATAAAACAAAGGCAATGTGTCCATCTACAACTAAGAAAAAATTTTTTTTTTAAAGTTAACTACGTGGTTTGAGATTGGATAGAGGAGTGGAGAGTAAATGGGTACATTTTGCAGGAAGCAAAGATATGTCTTATTCAAATTCCTTTGGTCCTTTCCTTTTTCTGACAATCTGTGGCCCCTTGATTGGAGATTTTCTCTCATCTTGTTACACACAGACAGCCCCCCATCCACTCCCTTTGGGGCATTTGCAATTATTTGTATTCTGTATGAGACTCATCACCCTGTGAACACATTATCAGAATAAACCCTGGCTCTGTCCCTTTCTCTACAGGTACCAAAGGCTTAGAATGTTCTCCTTCCACTCCCACCATGAACTCCTACTTTTATAAGTTCATGATCAACCTTCTCCAGAGGTTCAGCAGTGAACGGAAGCTCCTGGAGGTCAGAGGCCCTTTCATCATCAGGTCAGCCCTGCCTGCCTTCTCCTCCCCACAGGGCCATGGCTTTGCATTTTGAGATGTCAAAGCAGCCACCTCTTCCTTCTCTCTCCTTCCTTTCCTGACCTCTATGTGTGTTCTTAAAAGAAACAAAGGTTTCCTTTATGCTTTGTTGCTGGTACCACTGACAATCAGGCAGGTCATCACTGACATTTCTTTTAAAAAAAAAGAAAAGAAAACAAATTAAGTTTTTGCTTGTCAAGATGCTGTTTTCTCTTTAAGTTAAATATCTTCTCCCTCAATGCCGTTGTCAGTCTTTGGAAAGGAAAATAGGTGAGCCAGATGGAACATGACACACGGCTGTGCTGGCAGCCCAGCCACCAATATGGGATTTGGCCGGATTGGTGGAGCCAGGTTCTTGAGTCATCTGATCCTAGCCCAGGACAGTCAGGGTTCCAGCCCCAGGGGCTCAGGCCTTGAGAACTGTTGTCACTAGCCAAGAACTGTCATCACTGGCTGCATGACTGGGATTCCCTTCGTCTCACATTCAGCTTCAAAGAGCAGGGTCACAAGAAGTGACCCAGTGAACTTCAGGCTATTGAAAGCTAAATTAGGGGCACAAATTCCTCCAGGCTCTCCAACCAAACCAGGTAGAGAACAGTCCAAATGTCCCTGGATGCTCTGTAGCAGTGGTTCTCAGCCCTGCATGTCAGAACACTGAAGAATCTTTAAAAAGATTCCTGGGCTTTCCTCCTGACCAACACCCAGAACCCTGGTATGGTGGAGTTATTAAAATGTAAAATGGTCCAGGACACTTGGGGAGCAGACTACACTAATACAGTCCCAAGGGTAAGGGAGTTTGGTCAGGGCTAACAGAAGCCCAGCCTGCACAGGAAGTGCACAAGGGAGCTCATTTTGCTGTAAGCCAGACAGCAAGGGGGATGGGGACCTAGCCTTGTAGGCTATACCAAGGATTAGGGATGTTACCCAAACATCAGTGGGAAGCCAGGGAAAGGACAGAGGAGAGATGTGACCAGCTCTCTGACTTGAAAGATTGCCTTGTTGCTGGGGAGAAGGGTCTGGAGGGACCAAGATGGATGGAAACCACTTGGGAAGCTATTGTCCAAATGAGACTGTGACAACTTGTCAGGCAACAGAAAGCAGTAGGCAATGCAGTAAGGAGCATATGTGATTGACTGGGGACTGATTGCAGGAGGGAGCAAGGGCAAAGTGTCAGGACTAACATGCAGGTCCCTGGTGTGAACCGCTGGATGGCACTGCCAGTGTCTGAGGTGGGAGCCTCAGGAGAGTACCAGTGAGCAAGGAGGGTCATGACATGTTTGAGTTTTAATTGCTTTGGGAACATCGAAAGAAAGATATTGAAGAAGCAATTTAATGCACCTGGTTCTCCAAAGGGAGACCTAGACCCAAGGTCGACTGGAAATTGAAGACATAGCAGATATTTCCTGAATACCAACCCTGTGCAAAGTACTGTTCTAGATGGTTCTGGCTTTGTGGAGCTTTTACTTGCAGGAGTAAGAGGAGGCCAAGTGAGAAGGGAAGGAGTCTGAGACTGAGCCCTAAGAAGCTTCAGTATGTAATGGCGGGGAAAGGAGGAGAAACCAGAACCAGAAGCTGAGAGGAAGGGCCAGAAGGGCAGCAGGAAGCAGGGGAAAGAGGGGGCTGATGAGGCAGGAAGGGAAGATGAGGCCCAAAGAGCATCTTCCGGGAGCTGGCCCAGGAGCCTCCTCGGCTATGGATGAGCTAAGGAGTGGGAGACAAGAAATGGAGGGGCCAGGAGAAACCTGATGGAGAAGTTTGCCTGCCGGGAGAAGGAGAACCTCAGGCTAGTCAGGGACCTCGTGTGGAGCTGAGGGCACCCTGGGGATGGAGCCAAAGAAGTGATTCCTGAAGGGGACTAAAAGAAGAATGGTAGGACCACAGCAGGAGGAAGGGGCTTCTGATGGTCTCCACCCCACACAAAGGATGTCCCTGTCATCGCCCTTTGTTCTCTGAGCTCTTTTCTAAAGCAGGGATTCTCAACCTCAGCACTGTGGGCATTTGGAGCCAGGTAGTTCTTTGTGGTAGGGGCCATCCTGTGTACTGTATGACATTTAGCAGCATCCCTGACCTCTATCCACTGGAAGCTGGTAGCACCTGCCCCCACCCAGTTGGGATGATTAAAAATGTCCAAAAGGTGGGGGTATAGCCCAGTGGTAGAGTACTTGCCTAGCATGCTCAAGGCCCTGGGTTCAATCCACAGCACTGCCCCCTCAAAAACTAGTCTCCAAACATTGCCAAATATCCCCTGGGGAATAAAATCACCCTGATCAAGAACCATTGTTACAGAGAGACAGAAATGTATTCTTAACCTTCTTGGCCAAAAGAAGAAGTCCACAGTTATTCTATCCCCACATTTGGACGGGGATATCATATCACTTTAGATGTGATATGAAAGATCCTGCCACCAAAAAAACGGCTGTCTGTTCCCACATAAGTGACAGTTAATTTTCTGTGGTTTTCCACACTGCAGAGTGTCTGGCAGACTTTCAGGGAACCAAGTAAGAGAGAGAGACCTTTGAATAAGGCAGGTGCAGCCAGCTTCCTCTTTGGGGACAGGGCTGGTCTGGGTTTTTCCACCCATCCTGGCCTCATATACCATCAGAAGTGTGTGAATGGGGAGCTCAGGGTGGTAACCAGCACCCCAAAACCACAAGAGCGGAGCTGCAGGTAAAATGGACATTACTGGGCATCCTCCCCCACACACACACTTGGGGCCCCAGGCTCCATGAAGCTGATGGCCAGGCCACTGCCATGTTCCCATTTGCAGATTCCAAGGCAACAAGGTTTTGGGGCTGATGGGAATCCTCTTTGCAAAAGGGAAAAGGAGAGAAGCCAGTGTGTCAACTGGGCTCGCTTGGAGCTGGGCTGCAAACTCCTGCACTCTGCTAATAATTCAGCAACCACCACTTTGTCCCTCTGTGGGAGATGGCAGAGTCTGGTGCCTCAGGGGGCCCTGAACAGCTGCATGCCAGGACTCCCTGGGACCAAGGCCAATGGGCCCTTCCTCCTTGTTCTTCTAGGGGCTCGGTGTATCCAGCATGGCCGTCACTGACTGTTCATGGCTCAGACCCCTCAGGGACTATGTTCAGAAGGCATCAAGACTGATCTCCAGTCAGGCCTCACTGACACTCTAGCACAAGCACAGAGGGTCTCTTAGCCCTGGCACTTTAGCACAAAGAATCCAGTGGTCCAAGACAGGTGGAACCTTGCAGCTGAGTCCCTCACAAAGGACTAGGTCTCTCCTAGGCCTTTACCCCAGCTGTCTAGTTTGCCATCCCCCAAAAGCAGCCCCCAGCAGTCAGTATGTGTTACTGCTGACAGCCACCTGCCTCACATTCCTTAGAGGGCCAGGCTGGCCCGGGGACTGCTACCTGCTAAGCCAGCATGCCTGCCACTGATGACCAGCTCCTGGATTCTCTTGGGCACCCAATGTGGACTCCCAGGGCACACAGTCCAGCATTGGAGGCAGAGGAAGCCTCACAGACATGAGCCCCCTGTCTCCTCTTTTTGTGGTCCTGCAGGGGCTAGGCCCTTCGGTGATGTTGAGGCAGGTAGAGCTCTGGAGGTGTCAGCCTGCTGTCTTGCTTCTCCGTTTCATGTCCTTTGCTGATGGCTTTAAAAGGGGGTATACTGACAGTACATGCCAAGTGCTTCAGTGAAGCCACAGGCCTGATAAAGAATGAAGTAAATGGTTTCTCAACCCTCTCCTATAGCTGTTAGTTTGCTCCACTCACCCACCAAGATTGAACAGAGAAAGAGCAGAGTAATTTTCCAGCAAACAAGTTAGAAGCTGTTACTTGCGCAGTAATGTGTTTAGCACAGGGCCCAGGAGTGGCTGCCATCTGCAGAAGGACAAATGTCCACAGCTCTTGGAAGACCAATATCTGGGGAGGTTCTTGGCATTGAGAGAGTTGTATGATTTCCCTCAGGAACTGAGAGCATCTCCTCTCCCCACACAGCTTTCCCAGGCTATACCTCAGTGTGGAGCCAGGGATAGGACACCCAAACCCCCTAGACCTTAGTGAGCTAGACATCCCTCTGTCCACATGGCCTCTTTATTTAGCCGTCACAACAGTTTAGATGCATGTAAAAAAAAAAAAAAAAAAAAAAAAGCCCATACCTCTGAGACCCTGGAAACCTGCTCCAGTTCCAGGCCCTCCCTGGGCTGCATACAGGTAGTTGAGGCCATGCCCACGATTGGGGGAAGATGGGACATGTGGAACAGAGTACTGTGAGGAGGCTGGTGCTGCACCCCCACTCCTGCCCAAGAGCCCCTCGTAGCCTAAGGAAGAAAGTGTATGGTTTCCGGAGTCAAACCCCAGTTCCTCCCTTCTGTAGCCATGTGACCTATTTCCAAGGCCTTCCTGCTGTGTTCAAGAAATAGAGATGATAATGGTGGCTACCTTGTTATTTTGCAGGAGGCTTAAGTAAGATCAGTGCGGTTCCAGCCCCAGTGCTGGCAGTGTTTGATGAAGGGCGGGCGCTGTTGTCCAGCCTCTGACACACCATGGCCTCTACCTCCCCTTGTGGTCTGTAGGGAGAGAAAACCAGACCCACATGAGAGAGTAAGATTATTGGACCTTCTGCACTGAGAGTCAGCTCTGCTGCCCCAGGACCCAGGCACCCACCAGCACCCTTCCCAGCCCTGCTAAACCAACTCTGCCCAAAGTAGGTGTTGGTGTGCATTGCCCTCCTCCAGCCTCTTCCCACCCTCCATGCTAATGCCGGCAGAACAAGCCCAGGCCTTGTCTGCCTGTGAACCACCCCACTTATACCCAGGAGAAAAGGAGAGGAGGGAGAAAACCCAGCCTCTTTGATAAGCTGTGATATGAACTCCGGCGTAACCCAGCAGCTGTGATCTTTACAAGCCTGCTTCTGTGCGGGGAAGTAGTGAGTCTGAAGACACTCCACTCTGCCTGCCAACGCGGCCCTCTGGCCAGCGTCCCTTGGCTTCATCAACTGTG